CAGACCTGACACAGCAAGAAGAAATAAGAGGCAGAAAAGAAGTGAATGGCTGGATGGTGAGTCAGTGATAATTTTGTTGAGTTTATTCATGTGTTTATTTTCTGGGTGTGATATCCAACTGAAACCTCAGATATACTTGAAGAATGGATGTATTCACATACTGTTGAGTGTTCCCAGCTACTGGGATGCACATGGACACACAAACATGGCAACATGAAAAGAAGCCTATTACAGCTGCAAGGTCAGTTGTTCAGAATTATGACCATCAGAACAAGCTGATTTCTTGCTTGCTTTGTGCTTGTGCTTTAGAACCCAGTTTTTAATTATGCAGTAACAGTTGCTTTTTTTTTTCTTCTTCTGTAGAAAGAGACAGTGCACACAATGGGCAGTGTGTGCTCAAAGAAAGTAATACTTCCCAGTACAATTTACACTCTCTTTTCTGTGTGCTTTCCAGCCTTGGCTCTGGAGAAGAATTATTGCTTAGGAGGTTGCCTGTGGAGGTCATCACCATTACATCTCAAGTGCTTCACAATATTATCAATTCGGTTTTCAGCCCTGAGATGTGCATAATTCCCACAGAAAGATGGTGATAAAACTAATCAGCAAAAGCCAGATGCCACGTGTCTATTGCATGGTCTTCCCTGGAGATGACAAGGAGCTTTTTTTTTCAGACAGCTTAGTATTAAATGGTTTTTAAGGCTGTTCAAAGCAGAGTTCCCATTGGCTTCTGTCACAGTTATGGATACCGAGTCCTGCATTTCAGAATTCCACAAAGCCAAGCCATTTGCTCAGAAAGAAAAGAGCATTCAAATAATGGTCATTAGGGTTGAACGCAGGTTGGAGTGATTTGCCTGGCATTCTGTGACTGAAGCCCATGTGGAAATCAGTTTCCCATGTAGCCTTCAACTGCTTCAACTTTTATACCTTAATTCCACTTCTAATCTTCTGGCTCACTCCTTTTACAGCTTCCAACTCTTGCAACAGCTGAAGCAGGGATCCAACAGACACTAATCTCCTTTTCCACACAATGCCAAGCTTCTAATTCTTTTTCAAGACTGATAGCCATTTGGGCAGTCAGCATGGGTGGGATGCTTGATGCTTCCCTCTGCAGCCTTAGCTCATGAAATACTTGGGCTGAACTGTTCTCCTCCAGCAGACACTTGGTGAAGGGTAGTACAGTGCTGCTTCTGAGTATCCCAAGTCTCCTGCCCTGGTAATTCAGTCTTGGGTTTCCACCTGAAACTATGGCCTGTCCTGGTCCATGTGCTGGGCCAGAGCCAATTCTGTCCCACTCTCCATAAATCCCTGCTGGATTTATCTTAGTTTTCCCCTAGTTCATCTGTCTTCTGCCCTTATTCCCAGGCCTTCCCTGCCTGCCTAGTCAGCTCTCTGTCTTTAGCAATCAGCCCCAACCTTTTCCTTCACAGTTGTTCTCCCTGTAGGTAGTTCTGAGTCTTAGTTTCTCCCTATCTTTATCTGGGCTTTTTGTGACAATTTTCTCCCAACATTAGTAGAGGTGGAGGGTTGTCTCAGCTGCCTCCTGTGCTGTGAATGTTAGCAGGTAGCCCAAGTTATCTGCAACTCCGCCTTTACTTTTGCCAGTCCTTTTGGCATGACTTCTGCTGGAGCCAAGATGGGATAATGGTCTCCTGAGGCTGATGACAGCCCTACTCTACACAAATGAGTCAACAAGCTACCAGTTCCATACCTCCCCCTTTACCCTGGTGGGGAGCCTATTTCTATAGTGCTGCCGGCTGCCATGGGTGAGATCTGAGGTCGTTTCTAAACCTGCTTCTCTCATCCTCTTAAATATGTAACTTGGCTGCCAAGTCATGGATATGTACTTGGCAGCCTGTAATAGCAACTGGAAACAAAACATACACAATACAACTGGCAGAAAAAAAAAAAGAAAGAAAAGAAAGAGATGAGATGAGATGAGATGAGATGGCTGTAGAGGACAGAGCCAGAGCTGAATTTTCAGGCTGATCTGAGATTTTTGCTTATCTATCCATGGGCTGACTCTATTTGCATGAATAAACCTTTAAAGAGTACCTATAGGAGAATAGTTGCAGTGTTTGGAGGGCTGTGGAAATGGGGGTAAGTTAGGGACAAGTTATTTTAAAACAATGTTCTTTCCCCATTTGTTTTTCCATGTGATCATGAACATCTCAGAAACTATTGCAAAAATTAATGCCAACTTTAAGAGCCAAAAGCACAGGATATGTTCCTTCTGTCTTACTGAACTGATTTATCTGAAAGTCTTAGGTCAGGTATTTTCATCTCTTGAAAGTATATACTGGCCTAGTGCAGCTATCCTAACAAAATTATGACTGGTTTTCACCTTATAGCTGACCACATGTACTGAAAAGTGTGGTCCTCCCCCTGTCCCCTTGTCTTTATCTGTATCTCCGCTGGCCCTTCTTTGACTCCACCATGAACTGATGTAAAATGCTAACTCAGCAGAAAGCTTCTTATTTATTTTTGCTGGATTACTATTTTTGACAGTGTAGGGAGCTGCCTTGCTGTGGGGACAGAGAAGATAAAGAGTCAACAAAAGATAAATGTTGTAAAAATTGATGGGAGGGAGCAAGAATGCCTCTTCTGTCAACAACTAGCTATTAGGCTGGCTTAGCTGTAATGTGAAGCCTCACCCTTCGCGGGGACTTCTACTGGCAAAAAGTGCTTTTGTTCCTATAATTTGTACCAATTTTGGGTGCGATGTAAGCAGTACCAGTTATATTTAACACTGACCCACTGTGAATGACTAGTATGAGAGATTCTCTGCTTGCAAAAGCAAGTGCTTCACAATGGGCAACTTGAGCTGGTTGCTTGTGTTGGGACCTAGGTCATGTCACAGACTTGAGATGCTGTAGATATACTTTTGAATCTTGTAAAGTCTGAAACTAAAGTATGTTTAACATTCAGAGTGCTGTACAGACATCAATGCCCATAGCAGAGGGGCGAGGCACAGCTGCCTTCACTGCTGCTGCTCCTGGGCCAGTAACCAGGAAAACCTCTGCACCTCCCATCCCTCAAAAACACCGTGAGCCCAGTGAGTGGCTGTGGAGATGCTATTGCATGGAAAGTGCTTAATTTGCCTGTTTGGACTAAAATGTTACCCAAGGAAGCTGCTTAGCAGAGCTGGGAGGGAGCAAAACACACAGACTGTGAGTCCCAGCCAACAGAGCAGGCTGAAGGGGGACTTGTGTGTTGGGATCTGTGATTCCTAGGGGACAGGAGGCTGTCACCAGGATACCGCCAGAAACAGTGCTTGCCTTGCCCCTTGCTCTGGTGTCTCCCAGCCAAGCACCATGTTACCTGTAAGTCTCCCCACCTTTCCCAGCTCCTTCTTGTTGCTGCCGTTCATGTTTGCCTTTGCAGCAGATCCTGGGGCACATGGGAGGGCTGCATGGGTTGGGCAGGGCACGGACCTGTCCCACTGCTCCAGCCAGGGAGCACAGCAGTTGGGGACAGTCATTCAGCCATTTGTAATAGTGAGAAGCAGCTGAGCTGTTTTTTGAAGACACAGGAGTGGTATTTTCTCCTTCCTGTGATGTGCTGGTAGGCCTTGCTATGCTGTGCTACCACCTTTTCTGTTTTTCTTTCGTGGTTCGTAATCCCTTGTGTGTAACATAAAAGTACAGCACCTGCATGCCCCTGTTCATCCAAGAGTTGTAAACCAGTATTTAGAGAGCTGGAACTGAAGGCTAGAACAGACAAGTTGAAATAACCACTTTTTGTCAAAGGATTAGAGCCATAGTTTCCTAATATTCATCTCTGTGGTCTAACCATTACATGGGCTGCTGGCTGCGGAGGTGAAATTATTCTGGTGTCCCATATCCGGCACTCTACTACCAAATTAGATTGACCAAGAATTGTGAGAGCCTTGTGGCTGGCTGGCTGAATGGTACCTGGCAGAAAGACTTAGAAAGCCTTAAAGCTTCACTAAATTCAAATCTGTGGGCAGGAGGATTTCAGCAATAAGAGTAATTTTGCTTTAAAGGTGACCTGCAAATAGTAGTTAAGGGTTTGCAAGTCTCTCATGTTAATTAAGAAAGGACTAAAACCTCTTATTTATTTCCAGGGGATTTTTTAAATGGATATTTTTAGAAAAACATATGGATACTGTAAAATGCTGTTACAAGTCGTTTTGTCCAGTGTCCCCTGAACCATCTATCTGGTGTTTCTTTAAACTTCTCAGAATATCAGGAAAATGCATAACATATTCCTTTCTCCTGACACTTAGTCTCTACAATTACATAAATGTTATTAAATAAAAGCAATAATTAGTTTTTCAGTGAGTGTCTCCATTTGATTTCTTAGGCTTTATTGATTCACTGGCAATCAAAGGACTGATGTTCGATAGCAAACTGTCAATTATTTATTCATAACTTGAAAGACATAAAAAGGGAGAGATACATGTTTTCCTTTCTTTCACTGTCAACCTTTAATCTTAGAGAACTTCTGTGCAGATAACTCTTAAACAACATCTGGGTGAAAAGCAAACTGAAGAAAGACAGAAATTGGCCCATACGCACAGTGCTTGCATGATAAACACCTTGCTGGGCTGAGAACTTGAGCATAGATTTATGACATGTACTGTTTTTCTTGCAGACAGTAAGACCAGGTGTGTGGTATTGGAAAGATGATACTAACACCCTTGAATTTGCAAGGTAAGAAAGATGTTTATTTTCAAATTATGCAGGTTTAGGCCTTGATACAGCAGTTCCAAGTAAGGTAAAATCAGTGTCTAATATTATTTTTTACTTGAACATTGACTACAGGACAAATTCTTGCTTTTTCTTTTCTTTTCTTTTTCTTTTCTTTTCTTTTCTTTTCTTTTCTTTTCTTTTCTTTTCTTTTCTTTTCTTTTCTTTTCTTTTCTTTTCTTTTCTTTTCTTTTCTTTTCTTTTCTTTTCTCTTCTCTTCTCTTCTCTTCTCTTCTCTTCTCTTCTTTTCTTTTCTCTTTTCTTTTCTTCTTTTCTTTTCTTTTCTTTTCTTTTCTTTTCTTTTTCCTTTCCTTTCCTTTTCTGACTGGAGCTCCTTAACTGATGATGCTCTGTGGCATCATCTTAACAGAGAAAACCAGAAATACACATTTACTTCATACTGCTTTCAAGCCAAGGCCACTACAGGGGAATGGCTAAAAGTATGTGGCAAGTCCTACCATGTGTCAGAATCATGCACAAGACACTGGAATAGCAGTGCTGGATGTGAGGGCCAGATGCCACCCTGGGTGTCTATATGTGAAGGTCCACAGGCTGATGTTTTCTTTTGCCAGTGTTACATTTGACCCTATGCAATGGTGAGAGCATCAGAGTACTGCAGGCCTTTAGGGAAACCACAGCTCTACAGGGACCAAACTCCATGTAACTGTACTTTGAATGTCTGTGGCAACTGTGCATTAAGACTTTTTCAGGCCATTTAGACGACTGGGGCAGAAAGACCCCAACACTTGAACCACCTCCCTCCTGCTCTCTTCACAAGTGCAGGGCAGGGAGCATGGTGTATCATGGCTATGGTGGGTCAGTCATGCACTGCCCGCTGCTGCCGCCTGCCCTGCTGGGCATTTTCCAGACCTTTGTCATGGTGGAATCAGGCTGCTCACCTCTCTATTGGTCATACACTACTGCAGGCTCCTCTCATGGTCTGTGTCTCAGCAGCTCTGGCCAGCTTCTCTGCTGGGCTTGGGAACGCTGCTGACTCTGCCCAGTAGCTCTCCAGGGAGAGGTGTGAGCTCCCTGGTGACCTCTGCCTGTCTCTGCCCTCAAAGATCCCAAATAAAAGCCCTGGAATGGAGCAGTTTATGTGTAAAATCTTCCTAAAGCCACTCGGGACATTGCTTGAGGAGTTCACATGACAGAGTGCATATGGTAGCAGGAGATAGAGCAGGAAGACCCAGGGAAACCCCATTACTCTTGCTTCTGTATTTTTGAAAGCAATGTCTCATCCTGACCTCACCACAACCCAGATGTTTTCTTAGTGTCAGAGGCCAGAGTAGATATAGCTTTGTATCACAGGATGTTGACCTCTTTGTACTGCTGCTAGTAATTTAAACTCATACTAATCATGCTCATGCTCTGTATTCCAGCTCCAGTCCAGCAGCTGAGAAAAACCTTAAAGAAGGAAAAAATACTCTCTTTCAGGAAATACGTGTAAGGACGTTAAAGAGGTATTTCAATTTGACTAGCCTGGCTCAAAATGAAACAAGATCATTTGGGTGGGAATATTTTTATTCATTGTCTTAGGATCATGCCTGAACAAAGCACATGAAACAGGAAGCCAGCTGTCATTTCAACAGGGTGGATGAGTGGTCTGAACATAAAGACAGAGCCAGACATGCCTGATGTTGAATGCTAGCTCAGGCACTAGCCTGGTATGACTTTGGTAAAGTCATTCAGCATCTTTGTTGCTGTTTCCAGATCACTTAGAATGAGGTAATAATTCTCATCTACTCTAAAGAGTATTGTGAGGTAATTAATTCATCTCTGTGAGGCACTTCAAAGATTATTATTATTAATACTAATTTTATAAATTCACAACACAGTGACTTTCATCCATTGCTTAAAACCTCTTTGATCTAAATAATATAGTTGCAATTTATTATATTAACAACTAAAAGAGCAACTTCAGAAGCAACCTTAGAGGTGAAATGTCCTATTTTTCTCCACATCCCCAGCCTGTTTTGTGGTAATAATAGCTGAAAGTTAGTTCAGAATACCTGCCAAACACATTTCACTGCCTGTCCCTTTGAAACTAAGTGCAATGAAGACAGTACATACCAAGGAGATAATATTCTCAAACTGGAATTAACACTGTGTCCTTAAATGTTATATATTGGTCAACCACCAGCGTCTTCCAAGATGATTGCAGTTCAAAGCTCCCTGAAAGAAAGCTGGCTGACAAAGAAGGAAAATTGCATATGATATCCCAGTGGGTACAACATGAATATGTGACGTTAGATGACGTCAAATGTGAGTAATTGCTGGTATTTTGTATCAGCAAGGCATCGCCCATACAAGTTAGGGTGCTATTTCTACTAACACTAGCAATTTTTTTGAGGAAGTATTGCTTTTCTCCTGTGTATGTTTTCAGATGCTGCTTTGCTTATGAAAGACACACATGAGTCACATCACATGTTGTCACTTGAAGTAGTTATGGGGTATGTTATTTAGAGTTTGTTTTGAGAATCGTTTGTGTGTGGCTGGTAGGGGAGGGAGCAGGGTGTATGAGATGTAGAATGTGAAATATCGGAGGTTTAAAATCTCATCTGGAAGGTTCAGTGGAAAACAATACCAAATGCATGTTGTCCTTGACATGTGCAGAGAAGTAATCACCTGTTTGAAAGTCTTCCACTCTGTTACCTAAGAGAAGCCAAGAACTTAGGCCTAAATATCCCAAGACTATTATCCATTTTACTCTAAGTTAAATTCCATGTTAGCCAGCACATCTGCAACATTGTGTGCACCAGGAGTGCTAACATGACTGGGAGTCTGGGCTTTCTTCCTGTCCTGCTGCTGTTTATGTAAGAGCTTCAGGGCTCATTATTTGCTGCTGTCACTTATCAGCATCCCTTCTCTATAGGCTATAAGCAAGGAGGCAGCAGGTGGAGCATTATTTCTCAAAGGCATATTCCTGTCATCACCAGGGCCATGCAGTGGCTACATTATCATTGACTTAGGAATGCATCTCTAGACCTTGTGGAGCCTTAGTCATACTGTCCTTTCAGACGGGGAGAGGAGTCTGAGTTGTATCCCTCTTCCTTTGAAAATGAATGCCACTCTTTCAGTATGTTCAGTGCAGAAAACATTCTTCTTGGAAGTATTTCTGGTAATATCCAATTGAATCCATTCTTTATCATGTTTATTGGACTCTTAGTAATTCTCTAAAAGCCTTCAAAATCTTAGTTTGAGGTGTAGTGCTGGCTACGAATACATCTCAGCCACATAGCTAATATTCGGTATTATGCAGGCCCTTGAGCAGAGACTTTGTTCTTTTTCATAATGGTCTGGTAGTGTCAATATCTGTAAATCTGAAGACTTCACAGTGACCTTTCTACCTCTCATTTAGGAATGAGAAACTAGATGACTTCCTCATGGCCCTGCTCTTCTACATATCTTTTTACCTGGAAAAAATTGCCCTGGAAAAGAAATACAGATCCTTGACTTTGTGAGTACAAGACTTTAGGGGTGTAAGTACACAGAGCTTGCCCCAGCAAATTTGGAATCACAGGGCAGTCTTTCATGTCAGAATCAGTGGGAATGTGTGTGTGAACGAGGACTGCTTGCTGTACTGGCCTAGTATATCAAATAGTACAGAGAAAAAGCCCTTGGTCTCACCGTTTAGGTGTCCCATACTCTCCAAGACATAGGTTCCTCTGACTATGTAGAGGCAGATTTTCTGGAAGGGTTGGAACCCCACTTTGCCCCAGCTTTGCCCTGAGCAGTATGCACTGTTGTTCACATGGCATGGCATCACCGTAATCTCCCTTTCAAGATGGTGGCAGGATCCAGTGCTTGTTGCAACAGGGTCACCAAATAATGTAGCTTCTCAAGGTAATGCTGCAAAAATGAATAAATCATTAATGCTACCACCAACGTTAAATCTGTGTGAGTGCCCTGGATCAAATTACCATCCCTTAATGACATTTCCCAGTATTAACATTAGCATCCAGTCATTTCTTCTTGCAATACAAAGCAGCAAATAGTCACACCTGAGTCTGCTGGGTGTTAATTTGTGCTTTGGGTCACATCACTTTAATACTTCATTTCTAAATACTTTGCAAAGCAGGTTCAGGTGACTCTTGGGTGCTAGAAACATGTTATAACATGAGGAACACATGCTAGGAAAGCAGCTCCCAAGTAAGGGTGTATGACCACACTTGCTACCTTGCAGAGTGGAAAGGGAATAGTTTAGGAGCTGCTGTGTTAGAGGGTTATATGCCATGGGAGAAAGCATTACAGAATTACAAACCATGATTGTAAGAAATTTCAGTGAGTTTCTGGAGTCTGTAACAGTCTCTGGGAATTGATTTTCTTAAAACACTTAATGATTGCTTGCTTCACAATTCAGGAAGCTTTGATATAAAGAGTGGCTGATTTATCTGGATTGAAGAAAACACTGTTGGAGGATTGCTGGCCTTAAGGAATTGATTTGCTCTACATCCATAGATGTAGACAGGTGTTTCTTTCATTGTGCAATGAGTAATTCATAAATAAAACCATCAGCATAGTTTCATACACAAACATCATAGATTCAGTTGAAGTGCTCTGGGGTGCAATTTGCAAAATGATACCCTTGCTCTTAGCTGGTAGAAGACAAGGAGGCCACTCCATGGGTCATGACTCCTCAATATGGATTGTATCATCTACTGGTGTGGCAAATACAAAACCAGGCTGAAACAAAGAGAAGTTTGGACCTATTGCAATGTTTCTTGGATCAAGAGGGCTCTGGTTAGTAGGTATCAGCTATAAGCAGTGCCAGGAGAGACTTTCCAGTGTGTTCTGCCATGCAGTGCTCCCAGAGTGAGTCTGCCTTTTGGTGGGAAACATGTACTTACTCTCCACTTCTACAATACTGTTTCATTTAAATTCATTACCTCCCCTGGAGGGAAGTGGCTTTCTTGTCAGGATTACCTGCATACTGTACTATGCTAACATCAGAAAAGCTTAAAGAAAAATACCATGCAGCAACAGGAATTCAGGATATTGATATACTGAAGTATAAATACAAGGAAGGAAAATAAAATGACAGAAGGCAGTTTCAGGTCCTATTTAATGTTGAAGTTCATCCTTAATTGTTTTAGCACCTTCACTGATTTGGTGTGAAGAGCTTTCTGATACTTCCTCTCTTTTCCTGTTCAAGCAAAGAGATGCAATAACTTCCCATTTCCTCTGTAATCCACCTGGTCCAATTCTGCACTTGGTATGTGATATACTTCAAATCAAATGTAGCAAGGACTTTTACCTCCTGTGGAGTAAACATCTGGAATGATCTTCCACTAGAAGCAGTGGGGGCAGACAAGAAAACTACTTTGTTTCTGAAGGTGGAGCTCCGTGAGCTTGTGAAAGGGATTTTATAACTACATAATAGAATCATAATGACATAAAATTACACTGGTGATAAGAATCCTTGGGTTTGTGATATGCTGATGTACTTGTGAGCATGTGAAAAAAATTGCATAGCCATTTGGTTTCCTATAACTATCCCACATAAATCCCATGTTCAGGGCTGTTGTGAGTAGCCTACTCTAGAGGAAAACTCCCTCCCCCTTCCTTCAAGATATAATTTATATTTATAAATTTTATAGAAGCTTTCTTGCTTTCCTATATAGAATAGCCTGTGTGCCAGAAGTAGAGACAGACTGCAGGCAAGACCTGCTGGTACCATTTCATGTTTCTCATTAGTGATACCTATAATTTGCTCCTAGTTAACTGACAGACAGATTACTTGGAGACAGGCTTGGTGACCCACCTAGTCTTTTATCAGCCTCATGTTCCTGTATGACAGACACATCCAATGGCTTTGCAGTTCTCGAGCTACTCTTCTTGTAGACCCTGTGCAATACAGAAAACAGCACTGGTTATTCTTGCTCCTAGTTGGTGTGTTTTGGGATTCCTGCCATTTGGGCTTCCTGACTCAGCTGTTGGGTCTACTTTTGTCCACAGAGAGCCAGGCCTGTTAGCCTGAGTTAGCCTGAGTTCCTCAACTGTCTTGATCCTAGCCCACATTGCCTCAAGACAACATCTAAGACCATCCTAGCTTCAGAAGTCATTGCTTCTGTGTGTTGAACTTTCTTTGGAAGAGAAAGTATTGAAAGGGGCTCCTATCAGGATGAATCTGGACATCTTTGACTTCTTGTGACTTTGTCTTTCGTTGATGCCATGTTGATTCTTTGTAAATCCAAGCCTGAGACTTTCCTGGCTTTTTCTAGATTCAGGAAGATCTTGTAACTAACTTCAAAAATAACCAACCAGTTTTCCAAAGCAGTGGGCATGAGGCATTCTCACACTGCAGACAGCTTGGGAGTATTCACCTCTGAAATAGTGACTCTAAGAACAAAAACTTGCCAGCGGTGGATGAGACATGAACGGAACAAGGGCTATTATTTCTGTCCTGCATTTTTTTTCCCTTTTATTTTCTGTTTCTGCTTCCAACCCTTTCATGTATTTTGGGGAAAATCTGTTGAAGTTTATTAGCAATTATCCTTCAGAAGCCCAGAGTAATTGTCCTAATTTATTAAAGATGGATTGTGTAGGAAGCTTTACAGCTGGAGGCCATCAGTGATAGGACAGATAAAACCAACTCTCCTGAGTGTGAAAGGAGGCTGGTAAGTTTTAGGCTAGCAGCACTCCCAGGCACCACCAGACACTCAGGTGGATTACAGGGGAAGCAGAGGAAATAGAAAGCTCTTTCGTTTAGCATTCCTTAGTGTTTGATCTGAATTGGTTTAAAATACAGGCTTGTGGTGGCAGCCGTTCCTGTTTAGAGGCAGTCCCAAAAGCATTTCGTGTGTGTTTTTGAAGAGGAGTGAGTGCAGTCTCTGAATGAGCCAGACCAACTGCTCCAGGCCACCCAGCGGCAGAGCCTGTGCCTGGGGATATCTAAATGCACCTCCAGGGCTTTTATGCAGGCTGCAGAAAGGGTTCGTAAGCTATGCAGGATCAAAGATGGTCTGTGGGTATGCAGCTTATAGGTTGTGTGGAGTAAGAGAGACTGTCTTGTGGCCCCACCAGCATTGCCAAGCTGCGCTGGAAGCATCTGAACCCATGCTTGCTACAGTGGGGTCTCTTCACAGTGGTATCATGCAGCATGTTGGTCTATGTGCATGAAAATGAAGGCTCAGAACAGACACTCTTTCTGGCAGCCCTTCTGTCCAGAGCACCTTCTCTGAACACTTTTTTCCCTTTTTGTTTTCAACAGGACTATGATATCTTTTGAGAAGACAGAAATGGACAATGTGTTGGAGAAGTTAGCAATGTCCAGGATTCACCTTGCCAAGGTGTACTGTAACCTTATCCTTGGACGACGCGTGGCACAGCAGTCTAGCGGAAAGTAAGCCAGTCCCTTCTGGGGACTTTGTCAAGGGCCACAGCAGCCCAGGGCCAAGGCCTCTGTTGATTGATACAAGTAAATGCCCAGGGTAATAAATGTCTTGTAAGCCAAGGAGTCACAGAGGACTAAAGGACCATGAGGCAGAGAAGTGTCCTGATCTCCCTGCAGCTCTATCTCATCCTATAACCAACACCAAGAGTGTCCACAATGAGTTGCAGCAGAGCTTTGCATACCAGACTGGAAAGCTCTCCCTGATAGGCAGAAGCCTTGCTAGGTATATAGAGCAGGAAACTTTAATAGGTTCAATGTGAAAGTCAGCAGGGCAAAAATCAGTGCCAGCCCTGGATCTTACCCCTGCCACTTCCTCTTAACTAAATCTTTACTATGTTTCTGCTGGTTGCCACTGATCCCTGCCTGAATTCCCTTTTATGCCAAGTGTGAGATAGTACAAGACTAGCCTAGTAAGTGACAGAGACCATGTTCCTGAAGAGTAGTAAGTGAAGAAATTAGAGACAACAAGAGCTTGTGCTTGGGCATTGGAAGTGTAGGTCTTCTTAGTGGGGAAGACAGTGCATGGCTTTTTCAGAATGATGGAGACCAGCTTCTCTTTAGATGCAATGGTTCCAACAGTGAACTGATAAGGGAGAGAAACCCACAGAGAGAATGAAACAGAAACTGAAGAAGGCCAGATTGGATAGGAGGGTGTTTAAAAAGGCAGACAAAACAATGGAATGATGAGCACAAGAAAAGGGGAGTTTTAAAAGGACATGAAAGTGTTATGGTTTAGCCCTGGCTGGCAGCTAAGCACCACAAAAAATGGTTATTGGAAGGAGAATGTAACAGAGCGATCACGTGCTGTGCTAGTGTTGTGGAGTCCTTTGTCAGCCATCTATGTTCCTGCGCAATGTTTCCTTTCCTGGCAGTAAAAAGGAGCTGGCAGTCACCACCCAGAACCCCAGTGCCATGGGATCTTCTTAGAGCAGTTTCAGGCAGACTTTTTCTGGTGGTTGGTGTGAAACTGCTGCCAGTCCCCAGAGGAGTCAGAGACACCTTCACCTGCCTTCCTACCACATAGCCCTGGGCAACCTTGCTCCTGGCTGGGATGGGAGAACCTGGGCTTCCTTCTAATCAAGAGGACAAGGTAACCTGTGAAATGATGGAGTCAAAGGGGAGCTGAAATTGCTGTCCCAACAGGGCTTTCATTTTAGTGTGCCCCAGCCCACAAAGTGCTGGGCCCTGAGAATTAAGGATGTGTTCCCCTGCATCCTGGCACATCAACATTTCACCAGGCACTCCTGGGAGCAGCCTTCTTTGCCAGATCTTTGTCCCCAGATTCCTGTTGAGCAAAAACATCCTCTCAACTTTCTCACTTGTTGGACTGGGAGGATTTCATTGTTTCTGTTGGGTGGCCCTAATGTCTGCAGTTGGAGGAACTTACTGCAGAAAATAACTCGAATCCAGAAACTGGGAGCAGCTGGATAAAACAGCCTGTTGTATACCCAGCTAGTTAGCTCTGTTGCCTCTTCACTCACTCTTACTGCCTGCTGGGTGGGAATGTGCAGGATTGAAGCAAGCAAGGTGTCCAGTAGCAATAAAAATACCAGCATGGGAGTGAGAGCAGAGAGCTGAAACAATTGTATTCTTTAATATTTCCATCACAGGGGGGTTAGAGGTTGGCAGTGGGTTGGGATGTCGGTGTCCAGGCTGTGAAAACACAAAGGCTATAAAAGAGCTGTGTCTTAAAGCCTTGATGATGTAAGGTGCTGCATAAAGAGAGACCTCACTGAGTTACTCATAACAGGGTGGCGGTAGCTGACTACAGCTGACTTCAGAGTTAGGCTAATGCTGAGTGTGTTATAATATAGGGCACTTCCCATACCATACTGCAATTACATAAATACAATCTTTTCCAGGCTGACTCAGTTTAGCCTTAAATGTTATCTGGATCCTCCCAGACCATTATATGAACTGCCAAATACAAAAGCTAAAGGACAGAACTGATTAGCACTCTCAATTATAAAAGATGGTTAGGAATTTTTTGAGCACACATGTTTTTGGATGGGAAAGGTCCTTCATCAAAATGGAAACTGTCAGAAAGTTTAGTTTTGATAGGGCTTTTTTAACCTGAAAAAAGTTTAGATTAAATAGCTGAGAAATTATTGATAATGTGCCATCCCCAGTTTTGCTGTATTTTCTTATAACCCAACTATGGGTTCATGGTCTTGTTCAAGTTTTGCTTTTCGCTTTAATTCACCATGACAACATTTTAATGAAATCTTATGTTATGTTGGTAAACTGCTTTCCTTTCCAGATCTGCCAAATGTCCCTGTGTTCACATGGACAATTTTTAGTGTTCACACTACCAATTTTTCATTTAAGATTTTCTCTGGAATTTTAAAAAGGGAGGCTCAGGTGGAGAACATTTTCATCTTAACCATTTACATGATTTGTAAAATGCAACATTAGAATCCTATCTTCATACTATCCCAGACTGGAATTTGAGAGAGTTCCTCCAGACCTGTTATTTGTGTATGTTAGCATTAGTCCTTTTCTGCCTCCAATGCTGAGGAAGGAATAGGTGTGTCTGGCTTTCTCCTTTCAAGTTGTTGGGGATTGTGCAACCTTTTCATGGTGCCAGTTTCCTTATGGGCATTTGTTATAATGGGAAAAATACAGAGTGTCCCCAAAGCTGCATGTATCGATGGAGCAAACACTGAGCCAGCCCTTACTGATCCTTGAAGCTGGCTTGATCCATGAGCAGCTGGAGTCACAGCAGTGGTGGAGGGAGATGTTCAACGGCACAGGAAGCATTTCTTCCCCATGTGCCCCTATGCACATCTTGTAGATGTCTGAATCCACTATCACCTTGCATCCAAACACCATCTTACTGCACTGTTTGCTCTTGGCTGTTCTGCCCTCTTCTTTTATGCATGAACTCATCCCACCCCGTTCACAGCTCTGAGAAATCAATATGACCATATCACTAGTAATACGATGCTTTTTGCTCATTCTTTCAAGTCCTGTCCTGAAGCTTGTTGCAAGTTAGATGTTTTCCTGACCCTTTCTGTATTTTCCTAGGTAATAAGCAACTGTGCCCTAGACATGGGATGTGCCTCCTAGTTCTACATTTACTTTAGGAAACTTTGCTTCAAGCAGGTCTCTTAGCTTAATACCTCACCCCAGGGAAGAAAGCGCTGGGAGAAAGAAGGGTGGAGACCCCTGGCCTTATTTGACTCTAATTATTAGCATTATTTTCTGTTGCTGACCTCTACATTTAACCCTCTACTAAGCTAAGGACTGGTTGTAAGACAGTGCACAAGCTGTGTAATGTTAAAAGGTGAAGTTGGGTCTCACATTTAGGTGTAAGAAGCTGGAGTCACTTTAGATTTCTCTGCTCTAGTACTCTGAAGACAGAATAATGTGCTTTACCAGAATTCATAAGGGATCAAAAGCATTCCGAGTTGTGGGAGTTGTGCTTTGGAAAACAGCTATTGCAGAGTCAAGCTTCTTTTCCCTTGCACAGTATGTGAAGTGTCAGTGGGATTATGGCTGGTGGGAGCCAGGTAGAGAGATACATGGTCTTCTTTATCAAAAAATCAATAAGTAAAGCTGAGAAGATGATAAATATTGCTATGGTGCTGAAAGGTAGTATCTTCATTGTCTGCTCTGTATTGGTGTTTCTGGTGTGATGGCAGCTGGGGGTACCCTGGATGTGTGGAACACTTAACTTTACCAGTAAGATAAGGGACATGACAGGAGTCAAGATCATGAGAGCTGATGTGGAGACAGGCTTTCCTCTGCATCTAGCAGCACCAAGCCAGATCTGTGGGGAATCTGTAGGCTAACAGGGAAAATTTGCTTTCATTTCCTTGTGGGTGAGTTGTGCCATCTCCAAGAGAATGGAGAGGCTGCTGGGATGTGTGTGTCACTCTCTGCTTTAATGGCTGTTACCATAATGAACAGTCATTTGGCTTTGTGTGAGAATCCCTGAGCTCAAGTGAGTGGTGAGAGCATCTCTCAGGCTTCCACTGGGCAAATTGCTGCTTCTATAACAAAGGCCCTTTGTCATTCTTGGGCATGTTTTATATTTCTTCTTGGAGATACATCAGGCATCTCCTTCCTAGTTTTCATGTTTAATGACCAACATTGGCCTGGCTTTGTGCCCTCGGTAACTCTGCTTGTTGCTCTTCCAGTGATGTCAGTAAGAGTTTTTTAATTGACTTCAGTAGGAACTGGATTAGATCAGCACTGACCACTTTAGAGAGGCCCATGAAAAGAGCTCAGTCTAGATAGCATAGAAGTGGGGAGCCTTGCACACTCATCACATCCAGCTTTGTTCTCAGATTTAATTAACTGAGCCATACAACATTTTGCATTTTCTCCTTCTGAGGCAATGCAGAAGTCTTGCGTTTCTCTTGGACAGTGGGACTCCACACGTTCGTAACAAGGATCTACCAGCAACAACTTTATTGCTCTGGTGAAATGCTAGCTTGGCATAGCCCCATGAGTCATATTCAATGCTCTGTTTAGAGAACTGAAAAGACGATGGCTGCTATTAATTTTGTGCTCGTTCACTGCCTTAGGGAAAAACCATCATTGCAGAAAGATCGGAGCTACTTTGAGGTAAGAAAGACACAAAGATAAACAGTGAGTGTGACTGAGTGTCAGCCCAGAGCGTGTCCCTCCCTTGCATATCCAAATACTCCTTTCCTTTTTGGTACCCCCAGTAGAGGATCTTGTAGGTCAGAAGCCCTTGAATAAAATTTTACCTCTAGGGCCTACATGCCCCTATAAAATACCATCTTTTTGCCCTTCAGCCCAAGCCTTTTCCCCTTGGAGCCCTCAGCCAGGGAGTTTCATTCCTTTTGTGGCTTTTGTACCCCAGGCAGTTCCCACCATAGCCTGAGGTCCCTCTGGGAAGTCTGGTGTATGGATTTTTTCTCATTGTTGGCCTCATAGTTTTATCTCTGTAGGTAAGAAATTTTACAGCCTTCTTTTATTTCTATTGCCCTTGGTGACATATCTAGATGCCAGTAAGCTATTCTAGCCTGCAAAATACAGCTCCATCAGACACTTATGAGACTCACAGCAAATTAATACAAAACAGCTGGACCCAAGTTAAACTTTGTACTTCATGAACTTGGAAGCCTTTCTTTGAAAGAGGGGAACTCTGGATTCAATTCCAAGTGTACACAGCAATCCCAGCAATGCCATCTTTTCAAGAGCAGACTTAGTAGAGATACTGAGAGTTGAACCAGCTTATGCCAGGGATTACAAATGTTAAATAGGAGGGAAAAGATAGATTCTGGGTTTCTTTTTAATCAGTAAGCAGACATGTGGAGGTGAGATGCGATGAGTTCATATTTGCTAGTAATATTTTCTGTGATCACAATGCTGTCATTCAGGGTGGGGATCATCTTGTCTACCTGCAGCTGCCCAAACAAGTCCAGTCAGACAGTTGCCTTGACAGCCATTGCAGAAAAGAGAAGCTCAGCCAGCAGGTGAATTATTGCCTCTAGAGACAGATGTGTGTGATAGGAGTCCCCACAGAATGACTCATCCCATCAGTGTCTTTCCATTGATTGTTGAGGGAAACTGGGTGGTGATCTCAGGTTACTGCCTTAGTCTTCTAGCAGCAAAACTAAGCCAAATTGGTCAGAGTTGGGCAAGACTAAATCCATTTGAACTAACTCTGTTTCTAGCCTCATCTGTCTGCATACCCTTAAAAAAAACAGTCCTTTCAAATCTTCACTGATGCAAGCATGGTAAAGGTTGATGTCAAATGGATGCTGGAATTTTAGTGGAGTCATGCCCAGCTGTACTCTGGGATGCAGTGGGACTCTGGGCCATTTCCCAGTGAAAAAGGGGTCTGTGTTTTCTACTTAGGGCTTGCACAACTTCAGCAGCTATGTGACTTGGCTTGTGTTCAGATGTAAGCACTTCCAAGTGATTCGGGAAGAAATTGGCAGGCTTCTTTTCTCTGATGTGTTCAATCCTGCCTTAAGAGGCAAGAAGAATATTGAGCTGCAGAAACGAGGAGATGGAACTGCTGATGCAAATACTGCACAATTGCTGTATCCAAGGTACACATCTGGCAATGTGGTGAGTCCTTAGGGAACCTGACCTGTCAGAATACACTGAACTAACACCTGCATTTGTTTTCTTTCAAGAAAAGACCATGACAAGCATCCTTCCATAAGCACCATGATACAGCAGTGCTCACCGGTGCTGAGCACGCTGCTGCCCTTACCAAAGGACAGTGCTCAATACTTCTTCCCAAACCAGGACTGTAAGGGTAGGGACCCTCAACCTCACATGTGTGGTGACCTGCCAGACTTCTCTGAAGTGTTCGCTAACAAGTAAGGGGCTACTTCTCTGCATAAACAGATTTGGTAGTGCTATGAGGAAGGATGTCAAACAGCTAGCTCTTCCTCACCAGGAGAGGGGCCATTGGTCTGAGGACTTGGTCTATACAGGAGTTACAGAGGAACAGGAGTGTGAGTCCTGAGAGACCTGAGCAAGCCTGAAACTTGCAGAGGTAGCACGCTTGGTTAGCTGATGGCAAAGCAGCTACCGTCCATTGTAGTGCTTTGTTAAAACTCAGAAGTTTCATGGGGAAAGGAAATAGGCCTTAACATAAATTTGATCAGAAATTAATCAAAACCTCACAAAATCAAAATAGGATGTTTATTTTTTTCCTTCTTATGATATTCCCATTTTATATTTCTTCTTGACTTTTAGTTTTTAATAGTGTTCTGATCAGACATTACTGATGCACTTTATTAAAAAAAAGTGATTTTACTACATTGTATTTTTCAAATATAATTTGGATTGTAATAGAAATAGAACCTTTTATTCTGATATAATCTAAACCTTTCAAGCCTGGGCAGGCTATCTGAGAGGAAATCCATTACCCATCCAGCTATGGTTAACAACAATATCACTACAGGGCTTTTTAATGTAATAACTAATGTAAACAGGACCACTGTAAATCAGTTTTGCTCCATTGTAGTGTATGTAAAGCTTCGTGTAAGACTTTCCCTCATAAGTCTTCTTTCTCTGCCTGGAAATTAGAATTTGAGAATTGCCTTAATTTGCCTGGATCTTCAGAGTTCTGGCAATCTAATGAATGCTACAGCTCTGTGCATGCAAAACCTTTGGATGTATCTACAACACACAACCAGCGAGTCTGGTACTTCTTGAGAGTGTGAAATTTGCTACAATTCACATGTCATTGTTCTATGCATGCTTTGGAAGCTAGGTGCATCCTGAGCATCTTGGCTTTATAACTTATGCACAGAGTCATGTAATCTGTATGCAACAGGGCCAAACTTTCCAGGGAGCGCTGAGCTTCTCTTGGATGTATGCAATTTGTATTGTGCACATGTACACTCCAGACAGAAACATGATATAAGGTACTGAGGGTATAAGCATGGTGATCTGTTTTTAACCTGTGGCAGAGGAGATATTCTCTGCTAAAGGAAGCAAGGTTCCTTGCTGGTTTACCTAAGGAACATGGCAGATCTGTTCCCCTTTCTCCTACTTTCTTTTCCTTCAATGTGTCAAGCAGATTAACATGATGTTTCCTCACAGGGTGGGCATCATTGGAGCTCATTGTAGTGAGTTGAAATCTCTCCTAAGCACATCTGAGGAGAAAAAGGAAGAAGAGGAGGTTGAGCAGGAGGAAACACAAGGAAGAAAAAGCAGTGACCTCAGTCTGCCACCTCTGGGAAGCCCCCAAAACAGGCTCAGTACTCAGAGCACTGTGCTCTGAAGAGCAGTGGCAGAAGGTGACTGTAATCAGAGCAACCAGCAGACGTGATATTTGTGTTGAGTGACATGGTTTAAAGTTGCTAAATAAATCACTTGGAAATTGCAGATTAAGAAGCCTAACACATTTGTCAGAGGTGGGGTAGTTCAGCACACAAAGGTGACTGGAAACCTGGACTGTAATTCCTGGTTCTGTCACTAACAATTCCACCTTCATCTTAATGCCTTCATTGCACCATTTCAGAGATTATTTTACTGACTTATTTTGGGAAGTGCTTTAACACCTGCAAATGGATATGATTATTGATTTTAATGTCAACTCTCTAAAGGGTTAGCAAAGCAACCAGGAGATGTGACTTACTGCTGTGTAAAAGTTCCTGAAATTTTGCTTTTGAAGGAAGTTACTTTCTTGAATAAGAATTCTTATTCTAGTATTCTTATCTATTCTATTATTCTAGCTATCTTACCTTCTTAATCTATTTCTATCATCTCTCATTTTGTTCTTGGATATATGACTCATTGTGAAATAAGTATAGCAAAAAGAAATTCTGTTACTTAAAGTATCTACCAACTTTTCATTTAAGTTTGTATTTTAAATTATGTATATTTTTTTTTATTATTGATTTCACATTATTGGGAAAGCAGATTTTAGATGTTCAAACTTAAAATATGCAGTTGGGATGTTAGTATCTTGAAACAAAATTAATTCATGTCAAGAAATGGTATCATTTTACCTGTAAGACTATCTGTACATGCTGATCATTAGCATCAGGAGGAAAATTTAGGATGAAATCCTGATTTTGTCATAGTTAATAAGAATCAATGAAAAAATAATGGATGATTAAACAGTGAAAGAAAACCAGAGAGGAAATATTTCCAGCATTGTTAAGGAAAGAAATTTGACACGTCAGTGATGGTTTGGAAGTTTTTCAGCCAAATATATCTATGCTGGATAAAAATAATACAGTTTTCCCCTGCAATGTATGGTTCAGTTTTTAAAAGGATGGAATTTTGCAGCACAATTGTGATGAGAAATTTACTTCTGGAGTAACCAGTGGTCCAGGGACTAGATCACTTATATAGCAGGGCCCTGCACTGCCTTGTTGAGATAGACACTTGAACTGCAGATTCACAGCTGTTATTTAGTCTCTTCACTTAGACTGGCACGTTATATTAATGCTCAGTAGCACTGTGGCCTAGGCTTATTTTCCATGTGTTGGGTGAGTCCTTTTACCATTTGATGAGGCTGTTGTGGCCTACAGTTTCTCGCTCAAGCTTTTCACTAGAAATGTTCTGGTAAAGAGAAAAATATTTAAAATAACCTCTTGGACATTTTTGGGGATGGAAAACACATATTCTCTTCCAAAGGGGAGACATGGCGCTTTCATTGCAGGTTTTCTGAGAGCTGCGCCAAAACCTGCACAACTGTTTTTACCAGCTTAGCCAAACTTGCGTGTTTGGCCACGTATGGATAGTGCATACTAGGCCAAACATGCAAGAGGCAGTTGTGGTATCATTGCCCTGCAACAGCATAGTTTCCCTACTGAATGATGCAGCAAGATGTTGGTTAATACCTGGAGCTGAGGGAGGGTGCAGCACAGCTTCCTTCTCTTGGTCTCGGGAGAAACATTTTAGTTCCTACATGAGGAGACTTCTATATGCTAAAGGATGGCTACAGCTTTGTCTCTCTAGCTGTTACACTGGGCCCTCTCTGATCTGTGTATTGACATCCCAGTACATCAGTCCTTGCAAAAGCACCTTGCTTTCTCATGGCAAGCAAGCAGGCATTGTATGGGGCTTTAGAAAGAGTATGCGGGAATGTGTCCTTTGCCACACCAGTCCTGCAGGGAAATGGAGGCTGTGGTATGTGCTAATAACTGGGATTTGTGAACAGCCCCTGAAGCCTGGGGCAGAGTTTTCACAGAGTTGCACACTTGGCCTGTGGTGGGCCCAGGATAACAGGAAAGACCAAAGGGTAGTGCATGCACTCACGTAGGCAGCGAAGCTCTTGGGTGCAAAGAAGCTTTCTGTTCACTGTCAGTTGCCTACAAGGTCTGTGTCACTGCAGAGAGGAGGAAGCGTTGAGCAGCCACTGGCATTGCTCAGAAGCAGTCAATGAGCTACTCAGACCGAGAGATGATGTTTTCCCCTCTCCAGATTCAGGGCAGGTTCCTCAGGTTCCTCAAGGGAAGCAGGCCAATGGAGCTACTTTCTCATCATGAAACAGTGAGCAATAAGTGCTTTTGGCATGCTGTTTTCCTTGGACAAAAGGCAGCTCTGGTCCAGGCATGGTCTCAGTTACTTCTGTCTGCACCCAGAACACTCTGTCTGTCTCACTCTGCAGCAGTTACCTAGTAAAATCTGATGGCCCTAGCAAGCCATAGTTTAAAATACTGTGATTGTCAGCCAAGCCCTCAGCCATGGCTTCGGGTCTAAGTTTTCTGTGGTAATCTAACAACAACCTTGAACTTTCCAGAAAGGATTGAGAAATATCTGGAAGTTCAGATCTTTTAGTCAGCAGAGTCCTTTGCCGGGCTGCCTTCTCAGCATTGAGTGTCTACTTCTGAGGCAATGTACGTCTAACACAGAGAACCCATGCTTGTTTAAGCATGTAAGAAAGACCTGGCAGCCTCTCACACATGACAGTGAGTCACCCTTCCAGCAGGAGAGAGTGAGTCAGAAAGGGCAGTTAACAAGCTTTATTTATCAGTCTCCTGTTATTTGGCCCAGGAGAATTTTACCCTGAAAAACCCACCCTTGATAATGACAGGCAGAGCTCAGACTTGTGTCATACCACTGCTGGCTTTTTTCCCATAGGCTTTGCGTACCATTTTGTATCAGGAAATTACGGCAGGCTGGCCATTTCCATGAATTTTTCTTTTTAAAGGGATTCTGAACATGCCAGCTATATTGGAATAGCTCGCCTGAGCTAGGATTACCATAATGCCTCTCAGTGATGGAAAGAACCTGGAGTGTTCTGTGCAGCAGCTTTTATGGAGTTCCCATTTGGTTTCTTCTAGGGTTGCTTTGCTCAGAGCCTTAATTGAACACTGCTAGCATGGCCTAGTGTCTTGGCTGGCTTTTGATTGTGTTTCTGCCACTCATAAGCTCCACATAGGGTGTGTCAGGCTTTCCACTGTAAGTGTCTATTTTCAGAAGTTATGTTGCTCTTGTAGAAATCCATGCCAGGCAGAAAGCTGGCAGGAACCATCGCAACTCAGAAATGGAAAAAGAAACTGAGAAAACAATGATCTGCCTGATGATTAAGGAAAATCTGCCCTTGGAAATTTCAGGCTTTGTAGTTGGGAGAGAGATGGCAGTGCAACAAGAGGAGCCATCTAGATGTGGGGTGGCCATAATGTGTAGTTGGGTGTCTTGAGGTATGGAAAGAAGCAAAGTAAGCTCAAGCCCATTCTACTCATGTTGCAGACGGCTTTGGAGCAGTGACCTATAAAGGCAGCACCCATGTAGTAGCAGGACTACAGGGCTCAGCAAGTTCTCTGTGAGCCAGCATGGCAGGACCTGGAGGTCTTGCAGGTTCTTTGTCTCTGATGCCTCCAGTTCAAGACCTGTTCTTCTTGTCCCGTTAGGGGCCAGTGCCTGATATACATGGAAAACCAAGGCAGTCTGAGCCTGCCCATTTTTCTGGTCAAGACAGGCTAAAAGCAGCATTTGACCAGCAAAAACTAGGTTTTGTCCATTTCTGCTTGGACTCACACAGTCATCTTAGTAGTGTTAAGCTCCAGGGGACTAACACTCCTATATGTATTCAGGAATGTAGTGATAGGACAAGGGGTAACAGGTTAAAACTTAAACAGGGGAAATTTAGATTAGATATAAGGAGAAAATTCTTTCCCGTTAGGGTGGTGAGGCACTGGAATAGGTTGCCCAGGGAGGTTGTGAATGCTCCATCCCTGTCAGTGTTCAAGACCAGGTTGGACAAGACCTTGGGTGATATGGTTTAGTGTGAGGTGTCCCTGCCCATGGCAGGGGGGTTGAAACTAGATGATCTTAAGGTCCTTTCCAACCTTAACTGTTGTAGGATTCTGTGATTCTATGAATGTGGCTCTTTGTACTAGTAGCCAAATGGGGACTCACTGGGTGCTGCTGTGGTGAAAAAGATGTCACTATGTATCCTGATCCTGCTAATGTCCCCTCTCTGCCTGGGGGGGATATAGTTTTTAGTCTGTTTTCTTTCCCCTCTCAGACAAAACCTTGACAGAGTTCTGAAGATGCTCCTTATTGCTCCTGTTTCTGTGGCTTGTCTCCTTTGCTTTGTCAAAGCCAAATCTGCAACTAATGACCAACCATCCCTCCAGCCAGGAAGGACCAACAGCAGCTCCTTTGCACAGACAGCTGCCACCATCTCCTCACTTGCTCCACACCTGGCCACGGGTGTGTTGCTTGTGATGCTTTTTTACCTGCAGGTGTGCTGGGAGAAAGAAAGCCGCAGTCAAACTGGAAATGGGACCAGGCAGTGATTTGCAGCAGGAAGAGGCTGTCAGTCTGGATTTCCTTAAGCAAGGCTTCAGATGTCGATGGTATGTGCTCCTGCTCTGGCTGGGCAGGAGCTGGTCAGAGGGAAGGCCAACACAGTTGTGGTAGGCGTCTGCTACAGGTCATCTGGTCAAGAGGACAAAATAGATGAAACCTTCTCTAGACAAGTGGAAGAAGTGTCAGTGTCTCAAGCCCTCACATTTACAGGATATACCAACTGACCTGAAATCTGCTGGGCAGGAAACACAGTAGGGCACAAGCAACCCAGGCTTCTGGAGCGCATCAGGGACAATTCCTTGACACAGGTGCTGTACAGACTGAGTAGGGAGATGCTCTGGTTGATTTGCTACTTGCAAACAAAGGTTTGGATTGTGATGGTCAGTGGCAGTCTTGGAGAGATCAAGAGGTGGTAGAATTTAAGATCATGAGAAAGCAGAAAGAGGTGAGTAGGAGAACAGTGACCCTGGATTCAGGAGAGCAGACTTTGGCTTGTTCAGGGAACTGGGAAGCAGCTTCCCTTGGGATATTGCTGTGAAGAGTAAAAGGACATGGAGTTAGATGATTTTCAAGGACCATCTCCCCAAAGCCCAAGAATGGTCCATACTGTTTTG